TGAGTGAGTAGAGGTGGGAAAGTGGGGACCCTGCCTACCAGTCCCCAGACAGAGTAGCCAGAGGGGCCTGCCGGGGGACAGGCCTGGCACCAAGGGCACAGGACATTCCTCTTAGCATGAGCAGACACCCAGGTGGATCTCGCTGCCAGGCTCTGTTCCTCATATGGTGGGTGGTAGCCACCCTGGATACTCCTGCTTCCCTTTCTGGTTCCCACTCCCGCCACGGGCAGAGACGGGAGGCAGCAACCCGCATACCTGGTGTCTGCTGTGGGTGTGGGCTCTGCCACGTTCCTGCTCTCCCCAGCTATTGTCTCATCAGGTGCTTTATACCAGTATCTCCTCAGAATGTCCCTTACGCCTACTTTCTGAACTCGATGGCATCATCCCATTTTGCAGATGAGAACATTGAGACTCAGAAGGTTAATTGATCAGCCCAGAAAAACAATGGCAGGTACAGATTTCAAAGCCTTTGGGGCTTTTCCACTTGAAACCAGCAGGGAGTGTGAGATAATCCGGCTGGGAGGTTGAGAGTCCTGTCCTCTCTAGCCGGAGCACTCATGCTGCTCCCTCACTCCTGGCAACTGCATGAGCCACACTCCTGTTGTCAAGGGTACGTGGCCAGATACCACCTTGCATGTCTCTCCTTTGGCACCCTTTGTCCTCCTCAGACCCCAACAGCCGGCGGGAGGTTGATGGGGCCCATGAGTCCTTCCCCATCCTGTCTCCTCTGGGTGTGACAGGCTTCCCCAGCCTTCCACCCAGAGGCTGAGGGGCAGCCAGTGTGCTGTGTGTCAGAACCCTATGGGCCGCCTCCAGTGTGTGAAAAGTGACGGAGGTCTCTTCTCACACATGAGGTGAGAAGAAGCCGCAGCTCAGAGCTGTGCTGTGGGAAAAGGCTCCCGGCTGAGGCAGGGAAAAGGCGAGGGCAGGCCTGAGGCCCCGCCTGTGCTCTGACTAGTCAGTCCCAGGAGAAGCCTCAGCAGTTAGGAAGTCAAGAGTCAGGCAATTGCTGACCAGAGGACAGAGGTTTCGATGGAGATCAGAGGAACAGGAAGCGTGGCATCAGGGCCTGGGAGAGGGGTGAGGGGTGCTTGGGAGCAGAGAGGCTTGGGTGCCTGGCAGGAGAGCTTGTAATAAAATCTCAGATCAGCCAGTCTGATAGTCTCCTTGTACAAATAAGGAAACTGAGGCCTGTGCAGGTCAGCTTTGCACATGGCCACACAACACTGGCCAGGCCTGCATTGCTCCCCACTCGGAGTGACTGTTCTCGGATAGCTGAGGAGACGCCTCGCCGATGTGGACTTGGAATTGCCCAGCAGTGTGTGGGCCAGACGGCTGTAGGGGCTCCCGTGTCCTGAGGTGGGTTGTGCAAGTGACCTCTTCCTCTGGCCCCTCTTGTCAGTGAGGATCTAGAGCAGCAGATAGGGCCTAGCCCTCAGCCCTCACCACTGCCCACAGAGCGCCTGCTGCACCTCCCTCCACCCCCACTGACTGTGGCCTTTTGTTTTCTGGGTGACACTAGCATCAGGCGGTGTGTCCGGGTGACTAATCTCCAGGCTGGGCAGCTGTCACAGGGCGGCCTGACCAAGCGGGTGGGGAAAGCTGATACCCTGAGGGGTGCTGGCAAGCCAGTGCCCTGGCAGCAACGGGCAGCTGGGCCTTCAGGCTTCTCTTCCTGGGCTCAGAGCAAACCCTGAGTCAGACAGGTCTGGGCTTTGGGTCCCAGTTCTGCCACTGACCAGCTGTGGGACCTTGGGCATGTGACTGTACCTCTTCAAGCCTCAGTTTCGTCATCTCTGTAATGGATCCATTGATCCTGCCTGCCTCACAGGCTTGTGGCGGGGATCAATGGATCCATTACAGAGATGACGGTAAATGCAAGCGCTTCGCCCAGGGCCTGTGTTTCTCTGATTCCCTTTCCTACCCCATTCCACCTTAGTCCTAGCTCTCTCACCCAAGGGGAAAGACCCTGCTTCCACTGCATCTCTGGGCTGCAGGCTTTACCTTCACGTAGACGTGGGTTACAACTTTGGCTATACACCAACTAGCTTTGGATCTGGGGCAGGTTTCTTCGATGAGCCTCAGTTTCCCATCAGGAACACGACCTGAAACTACGTTTAAGGTGGCTGAGGTTCACAAAATGACTTATGTGCTTATAAAGGGCACGACACAGTGCCCTACACGATGAGCACCTGGTAAATACCAGCCGGGATGATACTGATTTCAGAAAGCAGCCAAGAGCTCTCTGCCCACAGAGCTCACCTCCTGCCCTTTTTCCTATCACCTTCAGGGGCTGGTCCCATGACAGGCAGAGAGCCAGAGCCAGGCAGTCTGAGCACTGCTTCCCCAGGCACGGCTGCCTGGGCCGCTCACTGATCACAGGACTCAGGCACTTCGAACCGTCCGCCTGCCCCTCAGCACCCCTGCACCCATCCAGGCCTCCAGCCTAACACTGCCTGCCCAGACCCACAGGGCAGTAGCAAATCAAAGAGTGGGTGGGCAGGTGCGTGGGAGGAGTAGGTGCTAGATGTGTAGCCAAACCTGACTCCTCAAGCCCATCGTTTCCCACCGCGTGTCCAGGGCTCCCACCCACTCAGGCCCTCAACAGACCAAGTATTCTCCTGTCAGCCCCAGGCTGATGTCTGAAGGCCGTGACTCAGAAGAGCACTCATGGAGGGACACAGGCATCCCTGGGCACTCTGGAGGTGCCCCCTCCTCCCCCAAGCAATGCCAGGCTTTGTGCCATTCCCTCACTGTTAGGGAGAGACAAGGTGCAGGTGATGTAGTGGCCTGTGGAGAAGGGGTGGCAGGACAGGTGAGCTGGCAAAGAAAGTGGAGCAGGTGTTCAGGAAGGTGAAGCGAGGATGGTTTTAGCAAGGAAGGTCACAAGGGTCCTGCCTCCCGGCAGGTGGCTGAGGGCAGCTCAGTGTTTGGAATGGAGTTGGGGCTTCTGGCACTCATTAGAATGAGTACACTTCCCCGGCACCCTCCACAGCAGGGCTGGGAAGGCTTTTCAGACCTCACCCAGTACTTTCCCACAGGGATGTCCTTGCTGTGCCTTAGAGGGAGACCGAGCAGCCTTGTTCCAGAAAAGTTCTTGCTCTCAGCCCCACAGAGATACAGACACGTGCACAAACCCAAATGCAGAAGAAGGCTTTTCTCCTGGCTTCCCTGCCCTCCTGCAGTCTCCTCACGCCGCCCCCCCCCCCCCCCCCCCGTAAAGACCGGGGTGGCCTCTCCCTGCATCTGCCTCCGTCCTCGGAGGGCCTGGCTCTCCCGGGGTCCTCTGGAACTAAAGGCAGAGGTCAGACGCTCTCCGTTGCTAGATGCCACTCAGCCTCTCCCCAAGACCGGAGCTGAGAATCGGGGAGTCTTACAAAGGACTGAGTTTGTTTTGTTTTCATGCCTTGGTTTGTGCCATTTTCCCGGAGGGGATACCTAACCTCACCGCACCTTGCTGGTGACGAAAGAGGAAGGGCCTTGCCCTCTGCCCTCCGTTGTCGAGGCCAACTCCGAAATGGGGCCCAGGGCTCCAGACTTCCAGCTTCCTTTTATTTTATTTCCATCAGCTTCAGGCAAGAGAAGTCCTTTAGGCCAGACTTTGTGGATTATGGTGCCTGGACTGGGGAAGCCGGGATAGGCAGCCGAAGTGCCCATTACTCCTGGGGCAGCCTATAGTATAACTGGGGAGAGCATCCGTGCTCCCACACATGGGAAATGTGGGCTCCCTGGAGGATTCTCTGGTACCCTCAGACTCCCTGTTTACGGAGCCGGAGGCCATGTCATCCCTCCCCCCCACCACCAAGGGTCTCCTCTGCTCAAAGGCAGGGGCCGTGCCGGGCTCCTGGGCCCAGGCAGGGCCATGGCCCAGCCCAGGTCCTGACGCTCCTGGTCTCTGTGCCCAACAGGCGCCCGCCTGCCCCCGCATGGAGACCTTTTTTAGGAGACACTTCCAGTGGAAGGCGCCCGGCCCTGGAGAGGGGCAGCGGCGGCCCAGTGGCATGGGGCTGCCTACGGGCAAGGCGCGGCGCCGCTCCCCCGCCGGCCAGGCCTCCTCCTCGCTGGCACAGCGGCGCCGCTCCAGCGCTCAGCCCCAGGGCTGCCTCCTGAGCTGCGGGCTGCGGGCCCCGGGCACCAGCCGCCGCCGCTCCAGCACTGCACCCCCAGCCCGCAACCCCCGCTTCGTCGTGAGTGAGGTGCCCACCTCACAGCCTGCCACTGTTGGGGCCCAGCTTCTGGGCGCACCCCTGCTGTTGGCCGGACTTGTGGGCATGAGTGAGGAGAAGGAGGAAGAGGGGGTCCAGGAGGAGGATGTGACAGTTGCAGCATTGAGCACCACCCAGCGAGACACCAAGAGATCAGGGCCCTCCCCACACCAGAGTTCGGGGACCCTGCTGCCCGCGCCCCGCTGCCTGCACGGGCGCAGGACCTCCTCCCACCTGCTCCCCGCCGACGCGGTGTATGACCAGGCCCTCTGGGGCCTGCATGGCTACTATCGGCGCCTCAGCCAGCAGCGACCCTCAGGCCAGCAGCCTGGCCCCGGGGGCCGAAAAGCCTCAGGCGCCACAGCCAGCCCCGCGATGCCCGCCCGCGTGCGCCCACTCTCCCGCAGGCGCCAGGTAGCCCTACGGCGCAAGTCGGCAGGACCCCAGGCCTGGAGCGCCCTGCTTGCGTAGGTATAGCCGCGGCGGGCAGGGCACGTGGTGCGGCCTCCGAGGGGGCTGGCATGGAGCGAGGGCCTCGAGGCTCCGCCTGACCTCGGGGCACCCTGCTTTGGAGCAGCGCCCCCAGAAGGGCTGTGAGGAAGGCTGAGTCTCCTGCAGGAATCCTCTCAGTCTTGGGCTGCAAGGGAATGGGAGGGAGGTCCTCTACTCTCCCTATTGCCGTCCCTATCTTGGTCTTGGGTTGAAGTCACCATGAGGGCAGAGGTCCCAGGTGGGGAGGGAAGAAAGCAGAATCACCGAGTGCGCAGCTGGCCTCAGCTGTCTCCTCTTCTATAGGAAAGCTATCACCAAGTCGGGCCTCCAGCACCTGGCACCCCCTCTTCCTGCTCCCGGGGCCCCGTGCAGCGAGCCAGAGCGGCAGATCCGGAGCACTGTGGACTGGAGCGTGAGTGGCTTGGGTGCTGGGAGGGGCAGACGGGTACTGTCCCCTTTGGGCTCTGGGCCACACCAGCAGTTGGGAGTGGAGGTACTGTGGGCAGCCGTGAGAGGAGCCCATGGGCCTGTGGGGTCAGGGCAAGCCTCCTGGGTGGCCACGTTTGAGTCAGGTCTTCCAGAGTAGGGACCGTGTTGGAAACAGGACAGAGCAAAGTAGATAGAGGCGGCCGGAGCAGGTTTGTCTTGGGAGAGAGAGGTTGTCGGTCCAGGGCAGGGGCTGACGGGTGAGCTGGGTGGCAAGCATGCCCTGAGGATGCTCTTCTCACTTCTAGGAGTCGGCAACCTATGGGGAACACATCTGGTTCGAGACCAACGTGTCGGGGGACTTCTGCTATGTCGGGGAGCAATACTGTGTAGCGAAGATGCTGGTGAGTGCGTCGTGTGCAGCACACGGACCCCTGGTGATGGAGCCAGGTCTAGAAGCCTGTTGGCCGACCCCTGCTGGCTGCACAGCCGCAGCCCCTCCCGGGGAAGGTGCAGACATGGCTCTCACCTGAGCGCCCTTGCTGTGGGCTGCCTGAGGGTGGTGAGAGGAATGGGAGCTATGCCCTGATGCCAGAGTCAGCAGCGGGGGTTCCTAGTGCACACAGAGGGCGGATGTGCTGGGAAGATGTGAAGATTGGCTGCCCTTGAAGCAGCATCCTGGGTGGAGGTGCCTGTGCCTCAGGGCCCTCTCTTTCCTACAGCAGAAGTCGGTGCCCCGGAGAAAGTGTGCAGCCTGCAAGATCGTGGTGCACACCCCCTGCATAGCACAGCTGGAGAAGGTGAGTGTGGCTGCTCGGCCTTTCCCGCCCCGCCCCTTCGGGTGTGAACCCTCTCAGAGTGCACGTGTAACATGCATTGCCTGCCAGGGGGCCACAGTGTGTACGCTGGTGAAGAGCCAAGGACCCTCAAGCTGACATGCCCACATTTGAATCCTGGCTCCCATCTTTATTAGCCGCTATATCCAGCATGGGACCCGTTGACTGTTACTCAGTAGGATGAATTAATAAAGCATGGCCATAACACCGTTTTGTCAGGAGCCAACCTAATCCTTGGAAGGGGCAGTTGCCTTGCTGAAGCTTTATAGCTGGCTCAGTCATGTGTAGTCCGAAATCCTGGCTCTAAATACTGTGGCTGTAGAGACCTTTTCCCAAAGCCCATTGTCCACTGTGTCTGCAGCTGGGCCGGAGGGTCCAGGCAGAGATGAGAGGGCTGCCAGGCTGATAGGGCTCCCAGGCAGCAGAAACCCAGACCAGCACACAGGAAAGCCTGTAGGACTAGGAATGGCACCAGCAAGGCAAACATGGGCTGCGTCCCTCAGCCCTTAACTCGCAGAATTAAGCTTCCCTACACTTCGCTAAGGCTGAAGCAGGGACAGTTGGGAGAAAAGAAGCAAATGAAACCTCGGGCATTGTAGACCTGTTATCACCCCTAAAGTGAAAGTCAAACAAGGGTTCCACAGCTTAGCTGAAGGTCTTCAGGAACCGGTCAGCACAGCTGGCAAGGACTGGGGTGCCTGCAGGTGCCTAGGCTGGGCGTGCCAGGGATGGAGGGAAAGTATAGGAAACCATGGTGCCGTTCTCATCCCTCCCCATCCCAGGGTACTGGGCAGAGGAAGGAGAGCTTCCTTCTGGCAAGGAGGCAGGATGCAGGGTGGTGTCCATGTTCTAAGAGCGCCTGGGATAATTTGGAGCTATCCTGTCTTGTGAGGAGAATGCTGAATACTCTGTCCTGCAGGGGTTGGCCATATGCCTGACCCCAAAGGGGGGTTCCGACACTTTGGTGGACAATGTAATCTTTCACAGATAAATTTCCGCTGTAAGCCGTCCTTCCGTGAATCAGGCTCCAGGAATGTCCGTGAGGTAAGTGCTCACGGTAGTTTAAAGGCAAGGAAACCCCAAGTTCCCTGAGTGGACCTCTCTGCAGTGTTCCCAAGTGCCACCAGAGGGCTCAGCTCTTTCTAGGCTGTCTGGGGACCCAGGGAAGTACAATGGATTAGGCTCTGAGAAAGCCTCAAAGGGGAGGGTCTGGCTAGCCCTGCCTACAGAGGGGGTGGGGCACCACTTGCCCCCTCTGAGCCTTGACCCTGCTCCGGGCCTTCATCTCACGCACAGGACTGTGGGAGGCTTCCCATTCCGCGTCATTGATACGTTGAGGGGTGCAGGCCATGCTCAGGGCTCATTTCTTCCAAGCCTCACTCCACCAATCTCTCTCCTCCTCCACCAGCCAACCTTTGTGCGGCACCACTGGGTACACCGGCGACGCCAGGATGGCAAGTGTCGGCACTGTGGGAAGGTGAGAGGCCAACCAGCCTGATGCCCATTGGACCTGGGCTTTAGCCCCTGGGCCCATGCTGTGTGTCCAGTGTGGCCCTGTACGGAGACCCAGGGCTCTCGCTCAGCAGGATGAGTCACAGTCAATTCAAAATTCCTGGTCTCTGGGCGGGGCAGAGAGCAGGAAGGAAGGGCTTCTTCCAGCGCAGTGTGTCGGGCCTGCTTTAGGTCAGTGAGCCCCCTGAGAACCTGTGGTCTTGAGTGCTAAGTCAGCAGGTGTTTGCTGAATGCCCTTTGGGTGTGGATACTGAGCTGGGCAGCTCCTGCCTTCCTGGAGGAGGGGGTGGCTCGAAGACACACTGCAGGTGGTCTTCCCAGCACTGTCCGCAGTGATGTTGTCCCCTTATCGTGGTTTACTTCTCTGTCTGCCTCAGTAAGTGAAGGTCCTGAATGGTCTTGCCCCACTTTCCTCCGTTGACTTCAGTGCCCAGCACAGTGCCTGGCATTCGGTGCCCTCAGTGACTGCAGTGCGCACGGGAGTGACCGGGGCCTGGCCGGGTCTGGGGTCCGGAAGGAGGGATCTGAGTCAGGCAGGAGTTAGCTGTGGGCCCTCCCAGCAGATCTCAGGTGCAACTCAACACTTTGCAGTTACCTCAGAGCACAGGCCCCTGGCCAAGCCTCCTTGTTCCGAGGGCTTATTTTATAGTGTTTGAGGTTTTCTTTAAATTTAAAAAAATGTGCTCAATGTCCCTGGGTGGAGAGAGGTAGACAACAGAAGAGGGCCTGGGTCTGCTGCTCCAGGCCCCCAACCACCTGTCCACCCTAGGGCTTCCAGCAGAAGTTCACCTTCCACAGCAAGGAGATTGTGGCCATCAGCTGCTCCTGGTGCAAGCAAGCGGTGAGTGTGCTCGCCCTGCTCCCGCAGGCCAGCCCGTGCTGCGCTGAGTTGGGGTCCCAGGCCTCAGCTTGGCCCAGCTCACATTGTTCCCCCCACTAGTACCACAGCAAGGTGTCCTGCTTCATGCTGCAGCAGATCGAGGAGCCGTGCTCCCTGGGGGTCCACGCTGCTGTGGTCATCCCACCCACCTGGATCCTCCGTGCCCGCAGGCCCCAGGTGAGTCCTTCCTGCACCCTTGACACCCCGCCACTTGGGGTCTGCCAGCCACCCCAGCTCACCCACCTTGTCACCAATGTCCTCCTTCCCTCACAGAACACCCTGAAGGCAAGCAAGAAGAAAAAGAGAGCTTCCTTCAAGCGGAAATCCAGCAAGAAAGGTCCCGAGGTTAGACCTGGGGCCAGGCGGGCGGCTGGAGGGAACGGGAGAGAGGAGCCTGTTTCTTGGAAGATGTCATTGGTTCAGCCTTTGGTGGGTCATTTTGGACTCTGGGGCCCTGAAGAGGATGGGAAGTCAGACCTGCGAGTTGCCTCTCTGCGGCCAGGCCCACCAGAGTTCTGACCCAGAGGTGGTACATGGGGGGCAGCCAGGGGTCCTGCTGAGCATGGGGATAGGGTCCACCAAGACTTGAAGGAGCCTTTCCTTACGGGCTGTGTTTCCCAGGAGGGCCGCTGGAAACCCTTCATCATCAGGCCCACCCCATCCCCCCTCATGAAGCCCCTGCTGGTGTTTGTGAACCCCAAGAGTGGGGGCAACCAGGTATGCACAGCCTCCCCGCTCCACAGAGCCTGGGGGGAGGCATGGGGTCAAGATTCCTGCCCCTTCCCCCAGAACCCACAGCTGTTCCAAGTTCCATATCAGACTTCTGCCCCGTCTTTCCCAGGGATCCTGGGGGGAATCTAATCCTGTCTCTACCCCATCCCCCTTATTGGGCCTGCTTCCCAGGCCTTCTCCCTGTGCTTGTCCCCACCTCAGCCCACCATCCCTGACCCTCTTGGCAACTGGTCCCCCACAGGGTGCAAAGATCATCCAGTCTTTCCTCTGGTATCTCAATCCCCGACAAGTCTTTGACCTGAGCCAGGGAGGGCCCAAGGAGGCGTAAGTATTGGCCAAGGCTCTGTGGGGACAGTGGTGGGGGCCTGCCCAGTGCTCAGGGCCCAGCCTACAAGTCCTGACCTGCTCCTGTCTCCCCACCCCAGGCTGGAGATGTACCGCAAAGTGCACAACCTGCGGATCCTGGCGTGCGGGGGTGACGGCACAGTGAGTCCTCCTACTTCTGGCTGGGCCCGGGCCCGGGCCTGGGCCCCACTGGCCTGACCAGGACTCTTCTGCTCTGCCCCCTCCAGGTCGGCTGGATCCTCTCCACCCTGGACCAACTGCGCTTAAAGCCACCGCCACCTGTTGCCATCCTGCCCCTGGGCACTGGCAACGACTTGGCCCGCACCCTCAACTGGGGCGGGGTGAGAGCCAGGGGAGGTGGGCCGCTGGGTGGGCCGTGTGGTGGGGAGGCCTGTCCTCAGGAAGGGCTCCGTTTCTGCTTCTCCCGCCAGGGCTACACAGATGAGCCCGTGTCCAAGATCCTCTCCCACGTGGAGGAGGGGAACGTGGTGCAGCTGGACCGCTGGGACCTCCGCGCCGAGCCCAACCCTGAGGCGGGGCCCGAGGAGCGTGAAGAGGGTGCCACTGACCGGGTGGGTAGGCCAAGGCAGGGGCCAGAGGGTGTCTGGGATTCCCAGGAGACATAGGCTGGGCCCCTTTCCCATTCCCTTGTTCTGGGACTTTGGTTAGGCTCTTCGTTCCTTCAGGTGTCGGCTTCTTCACCTATGCGATGGGAACAATGGTTCTCACCTCACAACAGTCATTATTCAGCCACTTGGCAAATATTTACTCAGTACCTGCCGCCTGCCGGGCACCGTTCTAAGCAGTGAGCAAGACAAAGTTCCCCTTGTGGAGCTCCCACACACTATGGCACACAGGGAAGGAGAGCCAGGGAGGAATGCCAGCGCGTGGGGGTGCTCTTGTGTACACCTATGGGAGGGCACCTATGGGAGCCAAGGGGCGGAGCCTGAGGCAGGCAGGGGGCGGGGAAGAGGTTCTGGTGGACCCTGTGACCTGCAGAAAAGGCCTCTGAAACGTGTGGCTGAGCAAGCACAGTGCCCCTGGCTGGCTGGGGCTGGGGCTGGGGCTGGGCCTGGAGCAGGGAAGTATCTGTGAGGCCTGACCCTCATGCTGGTCCCTTGAACTTTTCTCAGCTGCCTCTGGACGTCTTCAACAACTACTTCAGCCTGGGCTTTGATGCCCACGTCACCCTGGAGTTCCACGAGTCTCGAGGTTGGCAGTCCCTTGCTGAGGTGGCCTCGGGAGGCTGGGGAGGCAGGGACGCAGCAGTGTCTGAGACTTTCCCCACCAGTAAAAGGCACCCACGCCCAGCCGGGTAAGCCCAGCAGGCCCAGAATGACTGACTTCCCCCGTTTCTTGTCGCCACCTAGAGGCCAACCCAGAGAAATTCAACAGCCGCTTTCGGAACAAGATGTTCTACGCCGGGGTGAGCCTGGGTCTGTTGGCCTGGCAGCATCCCTCTTCCCATGCCCCACGGGGCCCCTGCCAGAGGTGGTGAGGGAGGGTCTCTGTCACCACATGGTGACGCCACTGTCTCCCACAGACAGCCTTCTCCGACTTCCTGATGGGCAGCTCCAAGGACTTGGCCAAGCACATCCGAGTGGTGGTGAGCAGGCCGGGCTGCAGGCAGAGTGGACAGGCCCAGGTGGGAGGGAGGCTGGCTTGGCACGCCCGTGTACCCCCAACACCCTCCCCGTTCCTGTCTCCAGTGTGATGGGACTGACCTGACCCCCAAGATTCAGGACCTGAAACCCCAGTGCATTGTTTTCCTGAACATCCCCAGGTGAGAGGGCAGGCTCTGTGGGCCCTGCTGTCTCCGTCCTGCAGGACTGTCCTCTGAGCCCTCGTGCTCCCTCCCGCCAGGTACTGCGCAGGCACCATGCCCTGGGGCCACCCTGGGGAGCACCACGACTTTGAGCCCCAGCGGCATGATGACGGCTACCTCGAGGTCATCGGCTTCACCATGACGTCCCTGGTGAGTGGGCTGGCACAGGCCTGCCTGCAGCCCCCTTTCTGCTTTGTGCAGTGCCCAGCACGGCTCCAAGATGGAAGCGGGTGTCACCAAACTTCCCTTCTCTGGCTGGGCACTCGCTGTCTCCTCCTCTCTCTGACTGAGAGTATCTGCCAGCCTCTCTGTGTCTGCGGGACACTTATCCATCCCCTCTGGCTGGACAATCGCCTCATTGCCTCTGTTTGGCTCTTGCCCTTACCTACCCTCTCTACTGGGGTCTCACCCTCCCTCCACTCTCTGTTGGGGTCACTTCCTGTTAGTTCTCTGGCCAGAGCCTCCCCTGGAAGGAGCAGAGCCGGGGACTCCATCATGCTGCCCCGGCCCCTGACCTGAGCCCTCTGCGCCCACAGGCAGCGCTGCAGGTGGGCGGGCACGGTGAGCGGCTGACGCAGTGCCGGGAGGTGGTGCTCACCACGTCCAAGGCCATCCCGGTGCAGGTGGACGGCGAGCCCTGCAAGCTCACCGCCTCGCGCATTCGCATCGCCCTGCGCAACCAGGCCACCATGGTGCAGAAGGCCAAGCGGCGCAGCGCCACGCCCCTGCACAGCGAGTACGTCCCCTCACGGCCTCCGTACCCCAGGCCCACGGCCAGCCTGCCCTTCGCTGAGCCTCGACTTCCCCAGCTGGAAAGTGCCTAATAGTCCCTCTGCCGCAGGGCAGCTCGCCAAGTCCCCTCTTATTGCCCCGCCCTCAGCCAGCAGCCGGTGCCCGAGCAGCTACGGATCCAAGTGAGCAGGGTCAGCATGCACGACTACGACGCCCTGCATTACGACAAGGAGCAGCTCAAGGAGGCCTGTGAGCGGCACGCAGGGCGGGCGGGGCGGGGCGGGGCGGGGCGGGGCCGGGCCGGGCCGGGGAGGGGCGGCTGAAGAGCCACTGAGTCCCTGAAGGGCTGGGCGGGGGGCTGTAGCCGGCGCTCACCGCCTGCTCTGTCTTCCAGCCGTGCCGCTGGGCACCGTGGTGGTCCCAGGAGACAGTGACCTAGAGCTCTGCCGCGCCCACATCGAGAGGCTCCAGCAGGTGAGGCGGCGGCGGCCCAGCCTGCCCTGCGCTGTTCCCTCCCGCCCCGGGTGCTGTCTTCACCCAGCCCCCGCCTTCTCACAGGAGCCGGAAGGTGCTGGAGCCATGTCCCCGGCGTGCCAAAAACTGTCCGCCAAGTGGTGCTTCCTGGACGGTAAGTGGCCCCGGAGGGCTGGCTCCTGGCAGCCCCAGTCCACGCCCTGCCTCCTCCCTGGGGGTCCTGGGTCAGGGCAGCAGAAGGCCTGGGCCTGGACAAGCGACCCTGTGTCCTCAGCCAGCTCCCTGTCTCCCACAGCCACCACTGCCAGCCGCTTCTACAGGATCGACCGAGCCCAGGTGAGCACCGCCGTCCTCTCCGCCTACAGCGTCTTCATGTTCCATAGCCCTCAGATCGCCCATGTCCATGGACAGGCCCGGCCCTGCCTCCAGAATAGGGTGCACAGGGACGGTGCCAACAGGGAAAGGGGGCCGGTGTACCCAGAAAAGGCTTGCCGGGTGGGTGGGAGGGCCTCAAAGTGCAGGTGCCATCCAGGAAGACAAAGAAAAAGCACATCTGGCCAGGGGTCAGGTTGCCCGGAAAAAGGTTTATCAGTGGAAGGGACTGGTAGGCCCAGGACACAGAGCTCAGTGCCTAGGCGTGGGGATGGGAAAGGGGAGGGGGGAATGGAGAGGTGAGGGGCAAAGCAGGCCACTCGCCTGCCTGCCTCTTGCCAGTGTTCACGCCCAGAGCAGAGGCTTCTTCAAGTTCCGCTAGCCTGCAGCCCCTGCAGCCACCATCGGCTGCCCTGGAAGGCTGTGACCCTGAGCCCTGACCCTCAGTCCTTGCCTCACTACCCACAGGAACACCTCAACTATGTGACTGAGATCGCCCAGGACGAGATTTATATCCTGGACCCAGAGCTGCTGGGGGCATCGGCCCGGCCTGACCTCCAAACCCCCACTTCTCCTCTCCCCACCTCCCCCTGCTCACCCACACCCCAGTGAGTCCCGGGCTACCCCAGTCCCTGGTTTAAGTCCCACCTGTAATCCAGCTGTTCCCAAAGCTCTGCCTTCAGCCCCAGCCACTTCGCTGGGTGCAGCCTCGCACTCAGCTAACTGCCTTTGTGGCCCCATCTTTCCTCCCAGCCCGTATCGTATCGTATGGCCCTCAGCATCCTGTCAACTCTCCCCCACACCTGATCACACCCCCATCTAAGCCACCGTGCCCCTGCCTCCAGCGCTCCTGCTCCCCAGCCTAGAACTCAGTACCCTGTGGGCATTCCAGGGCACACGGCCTGTGCCTACCCCCTCCTTTCCATCACCGCAGGCCGCAGGCCGGCCCCACTTGCCTCTCGGTTCTCTGAGGCTCAAGTTTGCCCGCCTCCGCACTTGCCTTTGCTGCCTCAGACACTTCCTGTTCTTCACCTACACCTGGTGTTTCCTCCCCAGAGGAGTCCTCCTGGGAACCTCATCTGACGTTGCCGTTCAATCACACTACCCTGTCCTGTGTCCTTCATAGCACTTCCTGCTCTCAAAAGACTTTATTTATTTATCTACTCGTTTGTCTCCCCGGCTAGAATGTAAGCTCCCTGAGAGCCAGTCTCCGTGTGCCGTGGTCACTGTGGTATCTGCAGTGCCTAGGGCAGCACTGGCATGTAGGAGGCACTCAATAAATCATTGAAAGAATGAAGGGCGCCCCTGCTTGGGGCTGGGAAGGTGACGGGCCGGCCGGCCTGTACTGTAGCTGGGTCATGTCTCATCCCACTCTGTTCGTAGGTCACTGCCAGGGGATGCTGCCCCCCCTAAAGGTGAGGCTTCTCCCTGGTCATCAGCATGAGGTGGTGGGGAGGTGGGCCCCACACACAGCCTTACGCAGACACAACTGCTGAGGTACACGTGGTCACATTCACCATGAGCCCAGCCCCCGGGACACGTGCCCAGCAGCCCCATGTGTGCATTCACCCACCAACACAGCCCAGGCCTCCGGCCCTGGCGTGTAACAGGCAGGTGTTCCTACAGGTGAAGAGCTGGTTGAGGCTGCCAAGAGGAACGACTTCTGTAAGGTACTAGCGCCCTGGCTCCATGTCTTCTCCTCGGCAGCCCCCTCCAGCACTGGGGAGCGGTGCCTCTGGGTGGGCCGAGAGCTGGCCTGTCCAGGCACAGTCTGTCGTCGTCTTGCCCTCAGCAGGGTCTCTGTGGTGATTGTCCCATTCCGCCTTGCCCCTGTCCAGCCACAATCTGTGTCCCTTCCTAGGGGCTTCCTAGCTCAGTCAGCCTGTCTGTCCCCAATGCTCAGAAAGGAGCGGGTCTTAGAGGAACCGCAGGCTCCAGGGCCTGGATCCTCGGGGTGAGATAAGCCCCAACACTCCGGAAAGACCTCCCCTAGGGAGGGATGTGTGTGAGCACGCTAGGGCCAGGCCTGCAGCCTGTGAGTTGGGGAGCATTTCTGTGGCTGGAAAGGCTGGGCCAGAGGAGCCCCAGCCCCGCTCTGCCTCCCGCCCTCAGCTCCAGGAGCTGCACCGAGCTGGGGGGGACCTCATGCACCGAGATGGTCAGAGTCGCACGCTCCTGCACCACGCAGTCAGCACTGGCAGCAAGGAAGTGGTCCGCTACCTGCTGGACCACGGTAAGCTGTGCCACGGGGGCCGCTGGGCTGGGCCCCAGAAGGAAAGAGAGGCTGCCAGGCCTCTGACCTGTCCCTCCCCTCTCTGCCAGCCCCCCAGGAGATCCTTGATGCTGTAGAGGAAAAGTGAGTATCCGGCAGTGCAGGACCCTGGTTACCCTGGAAACTGCCATCTTCAACCCCTCCTGTTTGGTCTGTGGGCGCCCATAAACCCTTTCCGGCCAATCTGTCCTCTAGGCCACACCCCCTTATCCTAGGGCCCCAAACTTCCTGCCCTTTCTGGTGGCCCTCGGGAGACAGATGGGAGGGCTTAGAGGACCGGATGGGGTCCACAGCCAGCCCCTGTTCCCCAGCGGGGAGACCTGTCTGCACCAGGCAGCGGCCCTGGGCCAGCGCACCATCTGCCACTACATCGTGGAAGCAGGGGCCTCGCTCATGAAGACAGACCAGCAGGTGAGCAGATCCACAGGATGGGCAAGGAGTCCACGAAGGCCCCAACCAACGCTCTCCCAGACTTGGGCCCTTGTGAGAGGGAAGCCTGGGGGAGGGCCAGCCACCTCTGGGGATGCCTTAAGAAACCTGAGCCAAAACCGGTTTGGCTCAGTGGTAGAGCGTCGGTCTGCGGACTGAAAGGTCCCGGGTTCGATTCCGGTCAGAGGCTTGTACGTTGGTTGCGGGCACATCCCCAGTAGGGGGTGTGCAAGAGGCAGCTGGTCGATGTTTCTCTCTCATTGACGTTTTTAGCTCTTTATCTCTCTCCCTTCCTCTCTGTAAAAAAATCAATAAAATATATTTAAAAAAAAAAACAAACAAAAAACCTGAACCCGATGGCGTGGAGCTGGCCCAGCAGGCCCAGCCTCCCTCCCCCGCCCACAGCACCTGCCCTCCCCTCAGCCTGGTCCAGGCTCCTCCCTCCTCCCTCCTCCAGGGCGACACTCCCCGGCAGCGGGCAGAGAAGGCTCAGGACTCGGAGCTGGCCGCCTACCTGGAGAACCGGCAGCACTACCAGATGATTCAGCGGGAGGACCAGGAGACGGCTGTGTAGCTGGGCCAGTGCCGAGGAGAGACAGCACCGGCCAGCGCACCAGCCCCCTCCGCACTGCCACATTCCAGTCGGACAGCCAGGGGGACCCAGGCCCCGGGAAGGAGCCTCTGCTTCCCCCCGAGGAGCCGCCCTAACGAGGGCTGAATTCTGAGGAGCGACAGCATCTCACCTACACCCCTGAGCCCCGGCCTGACCTGGAGGCCCCCTCCCCAGGGGAGTAGGAGACTGGACTGGACTGGGCAGGCCGATGGGGAGCTGGGGCTGGGCCAGTGCAGGCGGCCCTCACCCCCAGTGGGTGCCTCCCTGGTGTTTGGGAGGGAGGGGCAGAGGGGCTGGAAGCTCTATGAGGAAGCCTTCCCAGCCACCTGGTCCTTAAGGGCCCTGCTCCGAGGCTCCTGGGAGCCCCGTCCCCACTCCTGCTCTGACCCCATCTTCCCACCAACCTGGAGCCTGCTGCAATCGCCTGCCCGCTGCCCTGCTTGGCACCTACCCCACTGACCTTCCCCAGTATTTCCTGGAGGACTGTGGCCTGGGGGTTGGGGTGGGGCTCTCCTGGTGACTTGTTTACAGCTGGGTGTGACTCAGTAAAGAGATTTTTTTTTCCTTTCTGCATTTCTTTTCTTTCGGGATTTGACAGAAGCAGCGGCGTCTGCTGGGGTATCCTCAGAGTGAGGGGACTGGACACTGTGAGCCCAGACCCTTCTCTGGGTCTCCTCAGGGGGTGGGGCCCAAGGGTCTGCCCCGGACCTGACCTCTGCCCGGCTGCCTATCTCAGTGGGGCTGAGGGAGGAGCCGAGTCCCTCCCCTTCCCGCTTCCCGCCGGGACGATAACAATGAAAGTGAAAGAAGGGGGGCCGGGGCCGGATTGGATTCTTAGGTCTGTTTGCCCTGTGGCCTCGGGCAAGCCCCCTCCCCCAGGCCTCAGCTTTCGCTGTTTAGGGGGGTTCGGGTGAGGTGATCCCCAGCCCCCAGGGTGGGCCTGTGCTGCTGCCGCCGGAGCCAGGTCTGGAACTTCTCAGAATTTGTCAGCTCCCAAGTCTTCCCCAACCAGGCCCGCGGGTTCCTCCTCCAGCTCCCCCACCCCCACCCCCAAACCTGGGCTCCGGGAAAGGCGCAGCGCCAACCCCTCCGACCCTGTGCCTCCTCCGGGGTCCCCGTCCCCGGCTCCCAGAGGAGCGGAGCGCCTCCCTGCACCGGAGGCGAAGCATCTGGGGGCTGACCCCCTTCCCAGCAGCAATGGGGGGCCTGGGGCCGAGCAGGCCCCGGGGAGCGGAGCGGGACCCCGACGGGGTTAAACAAGGCGCCGGGGACGGAGACACGGGAGCCGGGACGCGGGCCGGAGATGCACCGGGTCCCCGGGCACGCCTCCCCGAAGGCCGGGCAGGGAGGCCGGCGTCCTCCGGGAAGTGGGGGCGGCCCCTGGGAGGGGGCAGAGGGCGGGGAGAGAAAGCTGGGACCGGGGACTGGGGGTCCCGGGCCCCTGGGCTCAGAAAGTGGGGGGAGGAGGGAGGGAGGGGCCGGAGAGCCAGGCCTCTGCGGGCGGAGGGCACCGTCCGGGCGAAGCGGGGATGCGGGACGGGCGGCGCGCAGCCCGGGCGGAGGCGCCAGGAGCGCGGCGGGGGGCGGGGACGCCGGGGTCGGGCGGGCGGGGGCGGGGGGCGGCGCGGGTTTGTGGGGAGGGGGCGGGCCCTTCCTCCGTGGTGGGGGGAGACGGGGGAGGGGGCGGGGGCCCATGTGACCGGCTCAGACCGGTTCTGGAGACAAAAGGGGCCGCAGCGGCCGGAGCGGGACGGGCCAGCGCTGGAGGGAGCGCAGCGTCGCGGGCAGCGAGCGAGTGAGCGTGGGGCCGGGGCGGCCGCGGTCCGCCGGCGGCCGGGGGACCAGGGGGGGTCCGAGCCGCGTCCTGGGGGGCGCCTCCCGGCTGTGCGCCCTCGGGGAACCGGGCCCTCGAGTCCGCCCGCCGCCACCTGAGCGGCCGGAGCCCCTGGGCCTGGGAGGGAGGGAGAGAGGGAGGGAAGGCTGCGGGGCGGTCCGCGCGGGGCTCCGTGGGGCAGGGGGCGGGCGCGTGACTCGGACCCTCGTCTCCCCCAGGATGCAGCACCGAGGCTTCCTCCTCCTCCTCGCCCTCCTCACCCTGCTGCTGGCGCTCACCTCGGCGGAGGCCAAAAAGAAAGGTGGTGGGAGGTCTGGGGGTGGAAGGGGGGGGGCTGGGGGCGGGCAGGGGAGGTCGGGGGCCCTGGCAGGACGGGGAGCCCCGCGTGCTGAGCCCCGTTCCCCGTGCGCCGCAGACAAAGTGAAGAAGGGCGGCCCGGGCGGCGAGTGCGCCGAGTGGACCTGGGGGCCCTGCGCCCCGAGCAGCAAGGACTGCGGCGCGGGCTTCCGCGAGGGGACCTGCGGCGCCCAGACCCAGCGCCTGCGGTGCCGGGTGCCGTGCAACTGGAAGAAGGAGTTCGGAGGTGAGGGGGCGCCCGGCGGGAGAGGCAGGGACGCGGGGGGGGGGGGGCACAGGCTCCCCGAAGCCCGGACAGCCCGGCTCTGACCCTGGGCCCCGCCTCTCCTGCCAGCCGACTGCAAGTACAAGTTCGAGAGCTGGGGGGCGTGTGATGGCAGCTCGGGCACCAAAGCCCGCCAGGGCACCCTGAAGAAGGCGCGGTACAATGCCCAGTGCCAGGAGACCATCCGCGTAACCAAGCCCTGCACCCCCAAGACCAAAGCCAAGGCCAAAGGTCAGCAGCCGGGAGAGGGGGCAGGGGCGGGGGGTGGGGGGAAACTGCCTCCACCTGTGAGGGGAATGGTTAAGCCTGAGGTTTGGGGCCCTGGTGAGTGAGCCCCTGTCTGTAGGGACATCTTAAGGGGGAATTGGGATTGGAGTGGGGGGGCATGTACTGAGGTCCACCGGCCGGTGCCCAGGTGGCAGGAGATCCTTCTGGCCCCGGCAGGACAGTCTGGCTGCTCTGGGAGCATCTGCTTAGAGTCCAGGGCAAACGCTAGAAGGGCTGGGCTTTGTTCCCCTGTCCAGCCCATGGAGCCCCTGGTCAGCGTGCCCTTCCTAGCATGGAGGGCTTCTCTGCCCTCATGGCATCCCTGAGTCCCCGCAGCCCAGAGGCCATCCCTCAGACTAGGCGGGGAGGCTGTTGCCCAGGGTTGCGGACTGGGAACTGGAGGATCTGACCCCCAGGGAAAGTTCCAGCTGGGAAAGTGGGGAAGGGCCCGCAGCGTAATGGCTGCCCTGTCCCACCAGCTTTCAGGTCCCCTGATGGAGCACCACTAGGGGGCAGAGTTTCCTTCTCCTTGAGGAGCAGAGGCGTCACCTGAATTCTCCTAATGAGCATTTCTTGTTTTACAGCCAAGAAAGGGAAAGGAAAGGACTAGAGGCCCTGGCCCCCGTCCTCCCTCTCCCCCGGCCCCAGAGGAACCCACCAGTGCCTTTTGTGACTCTTCAGCTTTATCAATCATGCCCTTTCCTCTCCCCCACCCCCCAAGTGCCCAGAGTGGGGAGGGACAAGGGATTCTGGCAGCTTGAGCCTCCCCCAAAGGGAGAATTTGATTCCCATTCCCCTATTGTTCTTACCCACAATGATGCCATTGCTAAAAAAAAAAAACAACAAAAAAATAAATAAAACTCATTTTCTCCCAATAAAGCTTTTCTTTTTTAATATATAAAAGCCCCTTCCTGGGGATTTTGCTGTGGTAATCTGTTGGGAGGGGAGAGTGTGGAGGGAAAGGTGGCTTTCCTGGGGCTCGGTGCTCCCCGGAGCTCATAGAAAAAGACCAGTTTTGACATTTATTCCACGGCCCCCCTCTGCCCCGTGAGAGGGCACCCCCATCGAGGCCTCTGAGCCTTTCCGTCCTTGTCCGGGGCCACGCCACAGCTGGGGCAGGAACCCACAAGACTAGGCTGACACTCCCAGGCAAAGGTCCTTGGGGCCAGCCACTGCCAATCCGGAAGGTTCTATCTGTAAAGATAAGGGTTGCTTGCCAGCCTTAACCCCCACCTTCACTGGCACTGAAATCGGTGGGTAAAGTCCATCTCTGTCTGGTGACTGAGGCCTCCGTCACTCTGCAGAGGCCAAGAGAACACCACAGCCCCACCTCCACTAGCTCACAGCCCCTCCTTCACTCTGACCTGCTTGGGAGGGGAGGGCTCTTCAGAATCAGTGGGCTGTTCCCCACTCAGGCTGGGACCCTGAGTGAATAGAGGACCTGCGGGCCCATCCTGACTGCCTGGCCGGGGCTGGGCTGAAGAAGGGGATGCCCCAGAGCCCACTCTGCCTGGCCTCCAGCCAGCCCGCCCACCAAACCAGGACCTGGCCGAGTAGCTGCAGCAAGGAGTGGGGTTTGGGAGAGGGGGCTGAGCCTTCATGCAGGGTGCAGGGGGGCAGAAAGCACCGGTTACAACAGAATGGGGAACCCTACTCTCTTCCTGAGTCCCCTCCTTTACTAAGCATTGGCCTCTGCTTCTCCCAAGAGGGTCCTGGCTTCTGCTCCCCTCCAGATGTCCATTCTTCCAGCCCCGCTGGTTAGTCATAGGGCCAGTTTCCCCGTAGGCCAGTGTCCCCATAGGCCAGTGCCCCCGAAGGCCGGTGCCCCCAGCTCCCTGAGGCGAACAAGAGAGATAAGTCAGGCAGTCCTGGTTCAGACCCTTCCTATGCTGACCCTCTGAGCAAAGAGCTGGTCCCTGAATCCAGCCAGAGCTTCCTCCTGAGCCTCACAGGGCCTGGGACCTCAGTCCTCTTCAGCGATCGTGGCCACGAGAGGTGCCTCCAAACCTTGCCCCCACACAGCGGAGCCACGTGGTCCCACAGCACACACATGCGGCCACCAGGACCTCCTCCGACGCCCCTGCCTGTCTACCTGGCAGTGCCAATGTTCCGATACTGGCACAGCAGCAGGTGCCGGAAGGTCTTTTTGAAGGTGGCGTTGCAGAGGGCGTAGCAGGCGGGGTTGATGGTGCTGTTGACGTAGCAGAGCCAGTAGCCGATGGACCACGCCGTCTCGGGGACGCACTTTTGGCAGAAGGTGTTCACCAGGACCATGACGTTGTAGGGCGTCCAGGTGAGGATGAAGGCCAGCAGGATGGCGAAGATGGTGCGGGTCACCTTGCGCTCCCGGGCCGCCATCTGCCGCTTCTTGCGCACCTGGTTGCGGGCGATGCTGGCAAACTTGCGGGCCACATTGGCCGCCGGGCGCATGCCCGCCGGCGTGGCCGGCACGATCTCGATGGCCGTCACGCACTCGTTGCCCGTCTGCTTCGTCACGATCTGGATCTTGGACCATTTGGAGGCGGGGTTGAGGGCCCGGGGCTGCAGGCGAGGGGTGGGCGTGGCGGGGGCGGTGGTGACCTCCGTGGTGGACAGCTCTGTGGGAGGCCGCTCCTTGGCGTTGTGGGTGGCGCTGCCCGAGGTGGACTCGTTGGACGTGTCCTTGTCGGCCAGCGGGCGCGGCGGGGGCGGCAGGGCGGGCGGGGGCGCCTCCTCCAGCTTCCCGTTGCGCAGCTCCTCCCGGGCGGCCTGCGGGGGCGCCTTCTTGACGCTCTGCTTCATCAGGGGGCTCTTGAGGAAGGCCAGGGGCTTGGCCTTCTTCTCCTTGGGGCCCTCGGGCCGGTGCTTGTGCACGCGGCTGCGGCTGGCCAGGGAGATGTGAATGTACAGCACCGTCATGATGACCACGGGCAGGTAGAAGGCGGCGATGGCCGTGCCGAAGGTCACCGCCGGGTTGGACAGGAACTGGATGGAGCACTCGTTGTCCGGCACCGTCCGCTCGCCCACCACAAACTGCCAGAACAGGATGGCGGGCGCCCAGAGCACGAAGGACAGGACCCAGGCGGCGGCGATCATGAGGCCGGCCATCTTGGTGGTGCGCCGGGCCGGGTAGGTGAGGGGCTTGGTGACGCAGAAGTAGCGGTCGAAGCTGATGATGAGCAGGTTCATGACAGAGGCGTTGCTCACCACGTAGTCCAGGGCCAGCCACAGGTCGCAGACCACGGCGCCCAGCGGCCAGTAGCCCTTGATGATGTACACGGTGTAGAGGTTCATGGAGAACGCGCCGATGATGAGGTCGGCGCACGCCAGGCTGAAGAGGAAGTAGTTGTTGACCGTCTGCAGCTGCCTGTTGACCTTGATGGACAGCATCACCAGGATGTTGCCCACCACGGTCACCAGGCTCAGCGAGCCTGTCACCGTGACGATGAAGACCACCTCCACGGTCTCGTAGCGGCTATGGGCTGCCGTGACCAGGCGCACAGACTGGTTGCCTGAGCTGCCGTCGACGGGCGTGAAGTTGGCCATTCTGGTCGGCAGTGTCTGGAGGAGGGGAGGAGAGAGAGGAAAGGTGGGCTGTTGAAGCGGATTAGAAGGGTACTGTGGGGTGACTGGAGTCAAGGGGCCGGAGGAACCTCATCCTGCGGAGCTTGAGGGAACTCTGTCCCATCCCCTCCTCATTTGTGTGTCCATCATTTACTGAGTGAGCGCTGAGGGCTGCGGTTACAGTGTGTGTGAGACACCCTCGGCCCCCGCACTCTCACGGAGTTTACAATCGGATCAGCAGAGACAAACAGTGAGCAACGACAAAGAAGTGCTAGGAAGAAAGCAAGGTAGAGGGGTGAAGCAAGGCACAGAGAGTGGGTGAGGGACAGACAGGGCTGTCCCCTGCTGGCTGAGCAGTGAGGCCTCTCCTCTCCAAGGAGGTGACCTGGGTGATGACAAGGAGGCAGCCACGGGGGCTTCAGAAAGAGGCCTCGTCAAGGGCAATGGCCCTGAGGCATGTGTGAGGCAAGGACCGGGGGCCAGTGTGGGTGGGACCCAAGGAAGAGAGAGCGGAGGGATGAGTCCGAATGTGGCTCTGGTCAGAAATATTCATTCAGCCTTTGGGTCATTTATTTTCTTCTTTTTAAATATATGTTTTGATTGACGTTAGTGAGAGAGGAAGAGGGAGAGGGGAGAGTGACATCCTTTGGTGCTTCTGCACACTACCTACTGGGGTCTGAGCAGCAGGAACCTCTTGGTGCAGGGGACTACCCTTAACCAACTGAGCCACATCAGCCAGGGCAGCATCTTTTCTTTTCTTTTCTTTTTTTTAATTGATTTTTTACAGAGAGGAAGAGAGAGGGACAGAGTCAGAAACATCAATCAGCTGCCCCCTGCACAACCCACACCGGGGATGCGCCTGCAACCAAGGTACATGCCCTGACCGGAATCGAACCTGGGACCCTTCACTGGACAGGCCGACGCTCTATCCACTGAGCCAAACCGGTTTCGGCCAGGGCAGCCACTTGATCGTTTCTTTCTCTTTCTTTCTTCCTTCCTTTCTTTCTTTCTTTCTTTCTTTCTTTCTTTCTTTCTTTCTTTCTTTCTTTCTTTTAATATATTTTATTGATTTTATACAGAGAGGAAGGGAGAGAGATAGAGAGTTAGAAACATCGATGAGAGAGTGTCATCAATCAGCTGCCTCTTGCACACCCCCTCCTGGGGATATGCCCGCAACCAAGGTACATGCCCTTGACCGGAATCAAACCCGGGACCCTTCAGTCCCCAAGCCGACGCTCTATCCATTGATCCAAACCGGTCCCGGCTCTTGATCGTTTCTTAAGCAAACTACCGGGGACCTGCTCTCCAATCCCTTAGCAGCTAACATTTACCCTCCACTACATGCCAGACACTCTCAGTACTTTTTATCAGTATTAACTCGTTTCATTCTCACGCAAACCTATGAGGTAATACTGCCATTTTCCGCTGCTTATGGACGAGGACACCCAGGTGTTAACCTGACCAGGTGCCACCGCTCCTGACATCACGCTGCTGTCCCAGAGCTACGAGTTCTGGCTGAGGGAGGCCCAGAGAGTCCCCGTGATCCCAGCTGGGGCAAGGCCTCCAGAGGCGCCTTGAGGATGAGGGGACGGCGCTGTGCGCAGAGGCTCAGGGTAGCACATTCCCCTCCCAGACCTCTCATCCTGCCCTCGGGCATGGGGGCGAGGTGCCGGGTAGTTTGAATCTGTCCGCAACCAGGGGCTGAGACCCTGGAGCCATCAGAAGCCCAGAGGGCCATCACTGAGGGAAGACACACCTGGCTTCCCAGGGGTCACGGTCAGCCCCAAGGGGTGACAGTGTCCCAGAGGGAAGAGAGGAGCTGCTGCAGGGGGGAGGGAGGAGCCTATGCCCTGCCCCTCAGGGCAGCCCTGGTCCCAGTCCGCCAGTTAGGGTCCCTCAGGATAAGGCCCCAGCCCTGAGCCTGCGCTCCCTCCCACCCAGGCTCCTCTGGACCGCCCCTCCCCTCCTTCCTCTCCCAAACTCGTGCGGGAGGCCCACACCCTGTGCACAGAGCCAGGGCAGCCGCTCTGCCCAGCTCCTTCACACCCGCCGACGCACACACCGTTACACACACACGCGCCCGGGCCCATCTCAGCACCCCCAGTCACTGTCATCTACGCAGTTCCCTGCGTCTGTGTGAAAGAGAAACCGAGGGGGAGAGGCCGCGGGTGTGGAGGAAGGAGGGAGGAAGGGACCAGCACTCCCGCTGCAGCCCGGCTTCAACGCCAGCCGGGTCTGTGTGGCCCTAGACACGCCACCTCACCTTCCTGCACCTCTCTCCTTTGCAAACCAGAGAGGATTCCTCAGGACAGCCTCCCACCTGGGCAGCCATGGGGATCAGCAACTAAACTCCATCTCCAGCCTAAAAATGCACTGGAGGCTGGAGCCGCGTCCCCGTGACCCCCCCCTGCCCGGCCTCAAGCCCCCCTGATCCACCATCGCAGACACAGACGCAGCCTCCCAGCCTGGCCGTTTAAATGTGCCAGATCCTTGGTTCTCTGGAGGGAGAGGCTCAGCGATGGATGGTGTCCCCCCCTCAAGGTCACCAATGAATGGAGATAACGCCTCCTCCCCAGAGTCCGAGGGCCCCTTTCAGCTCTGAGAGAATCTAGCGGTGGTGCGCACAACCCTGGGCGGGACTGAAATAATGGTTCAGGCGTCACCCTCTGAGCTGGGAGGGCTGAAGCACCCGCGTGGGGAGGCTGCCCTCTCAGACACACGCAGGCAAGCAAAGTGGGCAGGAGTGGTCTGTCAGCCAGCCCCAAGGGCACTGTGGCGCTAGCCTCTCGGGACCAGGGCACAGCCCAGCGAGCCCGACGAGATCAGAACGGGACCCAAGGTGCCAAACAGGAAAAACATAATCCCTCTTGTTTATCACGTGTTGACAGTGAGTCGGGAATCCCTCTGAGCTTTTAATATAGATTATCTGGTGTAATCCTCCCAGCAGCCTGAAAAGGCAGGCGACAGTAGTCTCCCTCATCTTACAGATGTGTCTTCTCACAGGTGATGATCACGTTAATTAAGTTGCCTACAATCAGCCAGTGTGTAAGCAGGCACGGGGGCAGGATGAGAACCTAGGAGCCACGTTCCGGACCCTAAATTCTACCTCAGAGTTCATTTCCTGCCTCTGCTTTCTCCCCTTTACAACCACACAAATAGGAGTGGGGTGGGCGAGGCTTGGGTAGGGTCCCCACCCATTCCCTCCGCCTCCCCAAACTGAGCTTTCCCAGAGGGGTCTCTCCTCTCCATCTGAGGACATCTTGTCTCCAGGAGGTGGCGGGCGGGTTAGTCCCGCTCTGGGCCCGCTTGGGGGAGCTTCCAGATGCAGACGGGGCGAAACGCAGCCGGCCCACCCAGCTGTCTTTCTGAACCCCTCAGAGTCCTCCGCAGACATCCTGACCGAAACTCTCCCTCCTTTCTCCAGGGTCCCGGCCGCCTGGCATCCGGCGAGGCCAGCAGCCCCGCCCAGGGCTGTACGCACCGCTAGATGGCGATGGCGGCCCCTGGGCGCCCCCAGCTCCGGCCCTCGGGCGGGGAGTCGCTCTCGGTCAACGCCCCCAACTCCACCAAGACCACGAACACCGAGGAGGCCCCAGGCAGGGATCCCCTCGCCAGGCCTCGCCCCGGAGCTGCCCTCGGCTCCTCCGCGCGGGGTTCAACGAGGGGAAAGTTAAGGGCGGCCGAATTGCACCCGGCACCGGCGAGGAACGTGTGGGCGGGAAGGCGAGTTCGAGTTCTGTGTGTGATGACTGGGGAGCGCGAGCAGAAAGGAGCGAGTAGCTGTCTGCGTGTGTGTGTGTGCGTGTGTGTGTGCGTGTGTGTGTGTGTGTGCGCCGCTCAGCCACGCCCGGGTACCAGTGCGCCCCGTGTGCGCGCGAGCATGCCGCGCCGTGTGGACACGTGAATGTGCACGCCTGTGTGTGTGTGTGCCCCGCCTGCTGGGGGCTGGGGGCTGCACACCGTTCGGGTGTGCCCGCGCCTGCGAGCGTGTCTGCACGGATACATGCGGGGCTGGCAGTGAGTGGCCGCCACACTCCAGACGCCTCTGCCGCGAGGAGATGCCACGCAGGCGTTGTCTGTCTGAGCGCCCATCCAGGCGAGCCAAGAGCCGGCTTCTGTGGCCCGGGAAGGGCTGGGGCAGGACAAGGCCCAGGCTACACTCTGGGTGGCAACGGTCCCCTGACCTCCACACACCACCTCACCTTCCTGCATCTCCTTTGCAAACCAGTTAGCTGCGTGCACAGTGGTCTTGTGCCCCCCACCGCTTCGGTGCCGAGTCCCAGCCTTCTGCACCGGCTTCTGTCGAGGGGCCGCTGCTGGAGTCCCCCCGCTCGGCCTGCGGGACACCAGGCTGGGCTCAGGGTGCCCGCTGCGGGTGACCGCCAACGGGCGGCGCCGGGGAGAGGGCGCAGGCAGCGCCTCTGTCACCGGAGGCCCAGGCGCGGGGCTTGGGGTAGGAAAGTGCAGGATTCCTCTCCCACACGCCTCACCCTGGCCCCCGCTGGGGAAGCAGCATGGTGAGCCCTCGCGTCCGGATTGGACACCCCGTTTCTCAAACCCGGGGACTGGGCGGGCCGCTAGGGCCAGGCTGGGACTTGAGAAGGCCCATCTGGAGCCCCTCCACGGTGCCTGGTGGTCCAGGGGCCCCGTCTCTCCAGGGCCCGACCTCCCCCACCCCTGAGCACGCAGCTCCGGAGTCTCTGGGCGTGGGCACGGTGCTTTGCCAGGCCCTCGAGCTCCCCAATCCCTTTCCCGGCCCAACGGGAGCGCCTGCTCCGGACCCCCTGGGGATGGGGGGGGTGTCTTAGGCTTTCACGCTGGGGCTCCGGGAACGCTGGGGCCCTTGGATCTGTCCCTGGGGGGGGGGGGGTCGAGAATGCAGGGGAGAGAGAAGGGACGCAGGGGATTTGATCCGGACACTGTGCCTGACACTTCAGCCGAGGAGCCCTGCATGGGCAACAGCGAGGGAGAGTCCTGGATTG